AAGCTTTGTTTCACACCACTGTATATGACAGATCATTCTCATTGAAATGCATCAAATTGCAATATTGCTACATAAACACAATGAGGATGAACATTTTAAGGTTCACGAAAACAAGATTTAATTATTTATAAATGTTCCAAATGTACACAGCAATGTAATTATATCTTACAATAGCTGCGCCAGGCCTAAATACCATACAATGATAAAAAATCTTTTGAAAATTTCACTGTATGATTGTAAACTGTTTTCTTCTTTAAGATAAATCCCATTTCACCACCTACCTATGTTGTCATGACAACAACAATGAATCGAGAAGAAGGTTTGAAAGCTTTGGAAACATCTGTCAAAGCCATTGAAGAAGTCATTATGAACAAGAAAGGAACATTTGTTTTACAACAAGCTGTAAGTGTTTGGTTTATATTTATATGAAAAGTATATTTTATCACTAAAATGACATCCCCCTGGTACCTCGACTGTCCTCATATCATCCTGTTACCATTTCCCTAAGTACCCCATGCTGTATTAAGACGGACATATTCAATCATTAGTCGTTTATTTAAAAATTACAATGACACCATCCCAATGCATTGAAATCAATAATATTAGGACCCTGTGACATTGGCAATAATTTATGTTAACTGTCCACAAAATTAGTTTTTCCTAAAGCTAATATTGCATTGTGATAATCAGTGTGCGAATTAGTTGAGAGAAAACGATGTGCAATTTTTTTGACAAAAGTGTTTGTTTAGAGGCATAATCAAATCGATATCCCGTTCATTATTATATATAGCGCTATTTGCTAAATTAATATTTTTAAACATGAACAAATTCATATGATTTACGACAGTGTTTTTCTTTACAACCGCTGATCCAGTTACAAATGTACGAGAGAAAATTTTTTCGCATGTTATTCTCTCCTCTTTTTTGTGCAAACTTTACAGCGCAATAAATTCACCACTTGGCCATCATCCTAGTAATCAAACTAGTCAGCATTTGATGTTTCCATCCATTTTTGTACTGTATTAACTTTGCTGGTAGCTACAACCTTTCGACGAAATTGGCAAGAATGACAAAAGTGAAAAGAGAATAACCGAATATACTTTTGCTTTCTGATTATTAACAGTAACATCCTTGATGTTTATTTACGATAAAAAACATCATATTTATGTCATATTACAAACAATATGTAAAAGCAAAAAGTATGGCTAATCAAGGTCGCCAGTTTGGCTTAATGTTTTGAGCCAAATTTGGCTTCTTTTTCTCTTGTTAGGCTTATTTAAAATCAATGATATCACCAGTGTGTGAATTAACGGTGTGCAATGTGCAATTTGCACATCGTTTTAGCTAAAATGAAAACAATTGCACATCACTTTTTCAAACGATGTGCAAAAAACTTCTTTATTGATTACTACCACATAAATTGAACAAAGTTTTAAAGCTTAATCTTTACTGATATTTACTTTATAAACGAGTGCGCTGCACGACATTAAAATCCATGTTCACACAATGTCATAAAATTCCAAGACGTTGTATCTGAGACTGGGAAGTCTGTCAACAGTCAACATACATGGTGCTTATATACTTATGACAATAGGGGTGTAATACATTATTGTCAGTTTTTGCATTTGCGTTGTTTTGTAAACCGTTACGTACTGTTTTTGGCATCATAGCTATTTTGAGTATTTTCAGTAAAATCAGGAAATATTTTGATTTTGATTCTTGAAAGAAGACAAAAAAACTGTAATAAGCCAAAATTGAAAAATAAACCAAAGGGAATTTTGATTTTAAATAAGCCTAACAAGAGAAAAAGAAGCCAAATTTGGCTCAAAACATTAAGCCAAACTGGCGACCTTGATTAGCCATACTTTTTGCTTTTACATATTGCTTGTAATATGACATAAATATGATGTTTTTTATCGTAAGTAAACATCAAGGATGTTACTGTTAATAATCAGAAAGCAAAAGTATATTTGGTGTTTCTCTTTTCACTTTTGTCTTTCTTGCCATTTTCTTCGAAAGGTTGTAGCTACCAGCAAAGTTAATACAGTGAAAAAAATGGTTGGAATTATCAAATGCTGACTCGTTTAATTACTAGGATGATGGCCAAGTGGGGAATTTATTGCGCTGTAAAGTTTGCACAAAAAAGAGGAGAGAATAACATGCACAAAAAATTTCTCTCATACATTTGTGACTGGATAAGCGGTTGTAACAAAAAACACAGTCGTAAATCATATGAATTTGCTCACGTTTAAAAATATTAATTTAGCAATTAGCGCTGTATAATAATTAACGTAATATGCATCTAAAGAAACACTTTTGTCAAAAATAATTGCACATCGTTTTTCTGAACTAATTTGAACCCTGGCTGTATCACTAAACTGACATCTTCTACTATCCTCGTATCATCCTGTTACCACTTCCCTAAGTACCATGCTGTATTAAAAATGGGACATTATCAAAGTTCAAGTATGACTTCATCAACAGTCGTTTATTTGTGAATTACAATAGACATGTTTCGACATCTCATGATGCCATCTTTAGTATAAGTGAAATAATAAGCAATGCAAGGTTTACATAAAAGTAATATGATACATAAATTACAACAATAAAAAGGAAATAAGATAAATTAATGGGGAGCGTCCGAGCGTATTATAAACTAAATATTGTATTGAATTTAAAAACTTGAACATTGAGGTCAGGGTTAGTTTTGTTAATGTGGAGTGCTTCTTTGATTTTAAGGGAGAATGAGGTTTCGGCAGTGTCGATGATTTTGAAGAAACAGGGTGAATAGTTGGTTTTACATGAGTGAGATTTAAGGTGTCGGTTTTGTCTGTTGTGGTATGTTCCCTGATTCTGGTGGATAAATGGCGCGAAGTTTCGCCAATGTATCGGGAATTACATCCCGCGCAATTGAATTCATATACCACCATAGATTTAATTGAATCAGGGATTGGGTCTTTGAATGAGAAAAGGTTTTTGATTTTGAATGATGTGAAAATTAGTCGAATGTCAATATCTGTACAGAAGCGTTTCATAATGTTTGTAAGTCTACGCTGTGTGTGTCGTGAGTAATGTCCGATGTAGGGTAGTTTGAAGTATAGAGTTGTTATTTTGGAATTTTCATTTGTGTTGGTCGTGATTGTCGTGTCAGGAGTTTCGGTGTCTAGTTTGAGGTTGTTGCTTTGTTTGTTGTCGAGATATCGTTTTACGGTTCTGTTAATAAAGTGTAGTGGGAAAGAGTTTAGTAAAAGAGTGGATGTGATTTTTTTTTATGTCTCGTTAAAAGCCATTGTTTGTATTGTTAAGTTTGTATGCTCTGTCGATTAGTGTGCGATAAATTGGCACATTACAAGTCCATTGTTAATTCAAACCTTCACTTTACCCACAGATTTTTAACCTTGATCATTACTGACCAAGAGCTTAGCAATCTACTTTTGTGTTTATTTTGTCAGTTCTTCTCATTATGTCAGATACATGCCAATCAAGATTAGGGGTTGAAATGTACTTGTAAATCTTATTGCCATGACTTTGCATTCATGCAAGAAATTTGTTGATTTCAAATGATAAATTTAAGCTATAAATTTCTATCATTGATTATCATTGTTATCTGTTCAACCAAAGGTTGTCACAGATATGGATGAAGCAAATTTTGCAAAGGAACTAGAAAAACTTGAACATCAAAATGCAGAAGTCGATGGTGATGATGATTATCCTGATGATGAACAAGAACAAGATGAATCATAAATGATTGTGGTTTGTTTTAAAACTTGCTGTGTTTTATTTTTATCATTCACGACCTGCGGTTGCCTTGAACAACAATTAGTTTAACTTTAAACTCCATTCAAACCCTATACATTACAAACATCAATTATTTTCTTTTGACGATTCAAAATAGATATTTCATTGTCAGTATTTCGCGAGGCAGTTTTTGAAGGTCCCCTGTTCGGATTAAACTGCCGCTCTGAGTATGCTGTTTGTGATGAATAGGACATTCGTCATCGTGAAACTATTGTAAATGCCAAGTCGTTGAAATGAAAGCATATTTAGAAAGGAGATCATTAAATTACATATTGCTAACAATTTCCTACGGCGAAAATTTTCCTTGAAATTTTTAAGTTAAAAGTCACTTGAATCATAATTGATCCAAGATGCAAAATATCTTATTAAAATTGGTTATGAATTATGACTGTCGATGCTATAGTCTGTCGCTTTCCATTGTCTGACCCTGAGTTTAAATTTCATGTTAACTTAATCTCGACGTTCACCTTTGCCGTTTATCAGAAGTTATACAGTCAGTGAAGTTCGTTGAAAATTCTGTTACTCCTTTCTAACTTTATATATCATCAAATGAAATCGAGAAATTTCAAACGCGGAAGTTTATCATGACGTTAACTGTATTAAAAAGTACAAATGCTCACAAAATGACAAAAACTTTATGATTATGTCGACATTGCGAATGGAGAAAACAATAACATAAAGGAAAATATGGCTAGTTTTATGAAACAATGATGTATCGTATCGTATCGCACATGTATTTCGTTTCGTACATTTACGTATGATGTCATCATGCGTTCGACCCTTTTTTAGGATTTTCATTGGTTTGATAATTCCTCGAGATTTTGATTGGTTGGGGAAAACTTTTGTACTTCCGGCGAAAGGTGACACGATGTGACGAGTAGTGCTTAGTCCTCCATAAGTCGGGACGTGTGGTTAGCGGTGCAACGTACCTACCAACGTACTAACACAGAGGCAAGTGATTCTTATTATCTCAGATCTATCTCAATTTTCAAAGCGTGCAAACGAGACTTTTAACTTGATTTGTACATTTTTACCTTCGTGGCTAACTTGGCTTCAGTAAAAAAGGTTGGTGTGAGAGTTACGATTTACATTTACTAATTTCAGTGTCGTTTATAGCTTTCATGTTTTGCTCCACCATCGTCAAATCATCTCACTAATAATTTAAGTTTATTATTATTATACATGGTGTATCATACAGAATGTTTGAAATTTCTTGTTTATTTACCATTAAGCAAAAGGTTGGGTTATAATTTCTGCATAAATTTACAATGCTCCAAAAAAATTATGAATAAATGTCAGATTTTCAAACTATCTAACGCGTAATAACTGGTTAACTGCTTCAAATAATGATATAGTTGAACTAGAAACGACAGTAAACTCTGACTCAGCCAAGCGTTTTTCCGGGAGCTTCTTGCATAATTATCACTTCAGGACCTAAAGCAACCGAAGGCTTACTATAAACAGTTAAATGAAAAGAAAAAAAAAAGTTACATGAAAAGCACGACGTTTGAACCGTGCTTAAGCGAAAATCGCTGATCTTTTCTTGTTACCTTTTCAAGTCAATAAGAACGAGTTAAGACGACAGTTCTTTTGAATAAAAAGGTTCAGGAGTCTTCTGCATCTGAAAATTTCGAAAAACTGACGTTGTCCACAACTTGTGGCAAAGAACAAACTAAGAGATTGCAATAATTTGAATTGTACCAGTAATAATTATAACATTGCAAAAGCTATCATTGGCTAAAGCACTATGTCTCACAAAATTGGACGAAATTACGCTTGTCGTTGTGGAAGGTTTCTTGCTAAAAATTTGTTGCTTTTCGTTGTGGACTGTGTTTCTACGTTCATTAAATATGAAAATAAAGTCCTTTATGTACATTTGAAACAAGCACATACGAAATGTTAAATGTGCAAATAATTATGTAATTTTGTGTTAAGATGGCTTTTGCTAACACGCAGTCGTCCTATTACATAGCATCATGACTTTCCTTCATAAACTTTACATATGCTCAGTACAACTAAAGTGTCATGTGCCAAATGGTAGTTCCAAAACCATGGCAAAAGTTATCAAAGTTTGAAACATCCTGTTTAGAAGGCTGCTCTAGATACAAATCAATTGCAATCAGACAATACAAGAAAAATCACTATTTGCCCTGATTATAACTGAAGGTTGATTATTGTCATACAAAATGAAATTGTTTTATTCCCCGAGTCTTTGAAATTGAACTATTACAAACATCGAGTTATTTCATGAAACATTAAGTCGAATTCAGTAAAGCATGCATGTTCCCAAGTATTAAATGATTCAGACAAATATTGTTGATAAAATTAAATAGAAAAGTATCCAGTATTTTGACACAACAAAAAGTTGCAGTGAGAAGCAACTACAACATATGCTTCCTTGACCGCAGTCTATGCAAGCATCTTTGCCAACTTTACCAAAGCCTATCGCACATTGAACATCAGCATTTGCTTCATTCAAATGCAACTAAATAACTTTATTTTCAGATTGCATAGATAAAGATACGCTACCTTTAACAAAAAGCAACAAAATTTTAGCTTGAAAGCTTACTTTGTCATGATGTTGTTGACAAAACCTTCCGCATAAGTAACCGGTATTCTTCATCTTGTTTGGGTCGACGATGGGAGAAATTTGTGAGACATAGTGCAGTTATTTTCAATGGGCTTGCTTGTCAGCTTTTCGCGAATAACCGACGATAGATTTTTGCAATGATACTAAATTTTATTAACCATCTCGTACCATTCAAATCGATACAATCTTTCAGTTTGTTCTTTGACTTGACGTCGCTGGATGTTGAACAATATCACCTTTATTGTGATTTAATAAAGCAATTTCTCCTAAAATTTCAGAGGCAGAATGCTACTGAATGCCCGTATTTAATTCCTCAAACTAAATGTCGTCTTTAGTTGTCTAAACTGACTTTGAAAGGCGGCAAGAAACAACACAATATAGATTTTGCATTGTTGTCCATGCATAAACACATGCAAAATATAATACGATGGAATATTATATTCGATACCACCTGACCGTGACCACTTACACTACTGCGCGCTTTTGGCTGTTTCCTGCTGAATTGTGTCTCCCTTCATATAATTCTTGACTCCCACATATACTTCACTTACTTGATACCTTGTTAGTTTGCACAAGACCACAAGTGTATGAGTTACTCAAGGAATAACCTTGTTAGTTTGCACAAGACCACAAGTGTATGAGTTACTCAAGGAATAACCTTGTTAGTTTGCACAAGACCACAAGTGTATGAGTTACTCAAGGAATAACCTTGTTAGTTTGCACAAGACCACAAGTGTATGAGTTACTCAAGGAATAACCTTGTTAGTTTGCACAAGACCACAAGTGTATGAGTTACTCAGGAATAACCTTGTTAGTTTGCACAAGACCACAAGTGTATGAGTTACTCAAGGAACAACCTTGTTAGTTTGCACAAGACCACAAGTGTATGAGTTACTCAAGGAATAACCTTGTTAGTTTGCACAAGACCACAAGTGTATGAGTTACTCAAGGAATAACCTTGTTAGTTTGCACAAGACCACAAGTGTATGAGTTACTCAGGAATAACCTTGTTAGTTTGCACAAGACCACAAGTGTATGAGTTACTCAAGGAATAACCTTGTTAGTTTGCACAAGACCACAAGTGTATGAGTTACTCAGGGAATAACCTTGTTAGTTTGCACAAGACCACAAGTGTATGAGTTACTCAAGGAATAACCTTGTTAGTTTGCACAAGACCACAAGTGTATGAGTTACTCAAGGAATAACCTTGTTAGTTTGCACAAGACCACAAGTGTATGAGTTACTCAAGGAATAACCTTGTTAGTTTGCACAAGACCACAAGTGTATGAGTTACTCAAGGAATAACCTTGTTAGTTTGCACAAGACCACAAGTGTATGAGTTACTCAGGAATAACCTTGTTAGTTTGCACAAGACCACAAGTGTATGAGTTACTCAAGGAATAACCTTGTTAGTTTGCACAAGACCACAAGTGTATGAGTTACTCAAGGAATAACCTTGTTAGTTTGCACAAGACCACAAGTGTATGAGTTACTCAAGGAATAACCTTGTTAGTTTGCACAAGACCACAAGTGTATGAGTTACTCAAGGAATAACCTTGTTAGTTTGCACAAGACCACAAGTGTATGAGTTACTCAAGAAATAACCTTGTTAGTTTGCACAAGACCACAAGTGTATGAGTTACTCAAGGAATAACCTTGTTAGTTTGCACAAGACCACAAGTGTATGAGTTACTCAAGAAATAACCTTGTTAGTTTGCACAAGACCACAAGTGTATGAGTTACTCAAGAAATAACCTTGTTAGTTTGCACAAGACCACAAGTGTATGAGTTACTCAAGGAATAACCTTGTTAGTTTGCACAAGACCACAAGTGTATGAGTTACTCAAGAAATAACCTTGTTAGTTTGCACAAGACCACAAGTGTATGAGTTACTCAAGAAATAACCTTGTTAGTTTGCACAAGACCACAAGTGTATGAGTTACTCAAGGAATAACCTTGTTAGTTTGCACAAGACCACAAGTGTATGAGTTACTCAAGAAATAACCTTGTTAGTTTGCACAAGACCACAAGTGTATGAGTTACTCAAGAAATAACCTTGTTAGTTTGCACAAGACCACAAGTGTATGAGTTACTCAAGAAATAACCTTGTTAGTTTGCACAAGACCACAAGTGTATGAGTTACTCAAGGAATAACCTTGTTAGTTTGCACAAGACCACAAGTGTATGAGTTACTCAAGAAATAACCTTGTTAGTTTGCACAAGACCACAAGTGTATGAGTTACTCAAGAAATAACCTTGTTAGTTTGCACAAGACCACAAGTGTATGAGTTACTCAAGGAATAACCTTGTTAGTTTGCACAAGACCACAAGTGTATGAGTTACTCAAGGAATAACCTTGTTAGTTTGCACAAGACCACAAGTGTATGAGTTACTCAAGGAATAACCTTGTTAGTTTGCACAAGACCACAAGTGTATGAGTTACTCAAGGAATAACCTTGTTAGTTTGCACAAGACCACAAGTGTATGAGTTACTCAAGGAATAACCTTGTTAGTTTGCACAAGACCACAAGTGTATGAGTTACTCAAGGAATAACCTTGTTAGTTTGCACAAGACCACAAGTGTATGAGTTACTCAAGGAATAACCTTGTTAGTTTGCACAAGACCACAAGTGTATGAGTTACTCAAGGAATAACCTTGTTAGTTTGCACAAGACCACAAGTGTATGAGTTACTCAAGAAATAACCTTGTTAGTTTGCACAAGACCACAAGTGTATGAGTTACTCAAGGAATAACCTTGTTAGTTTGCACAAGACCACAAGTGTATGAGTTACTCAAGAAATAACCTTGTTAGTTTGCACAAGACCACAAGTGTATGAGTTACTCAAGAAATAACCTTGTTAGTTTGCACAAGACCACAAGTGTATGAGTTACTCAAGGAATAACCTTGTTAGTTTGCACAAGACCACAAGTGTATGAGTTACTCAAGAAATAACCTTGTTAGTTTGCACAAGACCACAAGTGTATGAGTTACTCAAGAAATAACCTTGTTAGTTTGCACAAGACCACAAGTGTATGAGTTACTCAAGGAATAACCTTGTTAGTTTGCACAAGACCACAAGTGTATGAGTTACTCAAGAAATAACCTTGTTAGTTTGCACAAGACCACAAGTGTATGAGTTACTCAAGAAATAACCTTGTTAGTTTGCACAAGACCACAAGTGTATGAGTTACTCAAGAAATAACCTTGTTAGTTTGCACAAGACCACAAGTGTATGAGTTACTCAAGGAATAACCTTGTTAGTTTGCACAAGACCACAAGTGTATGAGTTACTCAAGAAATAACCTTGTTAGTTTGCACAAGACCACAAGTGTATGAGTTACTCAAGAAATAACCTTGTTAGTTTGCACAAGACCACAAGTGTATGAGTTACTCAAGGAATAACCTTGTTAGTTTGCACAAGACCACAAGTGTATGAGTTACTCAAGGAATAACCTTGTTAGTTTGCACAAGACCACAAGTGTATGAGTTACTCAAGGAATAACCTTGTTAGTTTGCACAAGACCACAAGTGTATGAGTTACTCAAGGAATAACCTTGTTAGTTTGCACAAGACCACAAGTGTATGAGTTACTCAAGAAATAACCTTGTTAGTTTGCACAAGACCACAAGTGTATGAGTTACTCAAGGAATAACCTTGTTAGTTTGCACAAGACCACAAGTGTATGAGTTACTCAAGGAATAACCTTGTTAGTTTGCACAAGACCACAAGTGTATGAGTTACTCAAAGAATAACCTTGTTAGTTTGCACAAGACCACAAGTGTATGAGTTACTCAAAGAATAACCTTGTTAGTTTGCACAAGACCACAAGTGTATGAGTTACTCAAGGAATAACCTTGTTAGTTTGCACAAGACCACAAGTGTATGAGTTACTCAAGAAATAACCTTGTTAGTTTGCACAAGACCACAAGTGTATGAGTTACTCAAGAAATAACCTTGTTAGTTTGCACAAGACCACAAGTGTATGAGTTACTCAAGAAATAACCTTGTTAGTTTGCACAAGACCACAAGTGTATGAGTTACTCAAGAAATAACCTTGTTAGTTTGCACAAGACCACAAGTGTATGAGTTACTCAAGGAATAACCTTGTTAGTTTGCACAAGACCACAAGTGTATGAGTTACTCAAGGAATAACCTTGTTAGTTTGCACAAGACCACAAGTGTATGAGTTACTCAAAGAATAACCTTGTTAGTTTGCACAAGACCACAAGTGTATGAGTTACTCAAGGAATAACCTTGTTAGTTTGCACAAGACCACAAGTGTATGAGTTACTCAAGGAATAACCTTGTTAGTTTGCACAAGACCACAAGTGTATGAGTTACTCAAGGCATAACTTTGTTAGTTTGCACAAGACCACAAGTTTATGAGTTACTCAAGGAATAACCTTGTTAGTTTGCACAAGACCACAAGTGTATGAGTTACTCAAGGAATAACTTTGTTAGTTTGCACAAGACCACAAGTTTATGAGTTACTCAAGGAATAACCTTGTTAGTTTGCACAAGACCACAAGTGTATGAGTTACTCAAGGAATAACCTTGTTAGTTTGCACAAGACCACAAGTGTATGAGTTACTCAAGGAATAACCTTGTTAGTTTGCACAAGACCACAAGTGTATGAGTTACTCAAGGAATAACCTTGTTAGTTTGCACAAGACCACAAGTGTATGAGTTACTCAAGGAATAACTTTGTTAGTTTGCACAAGACCACAAGTTTATGAGTTACTCAAGGAATAACCTTGTTAGTTTGCACAAGACCACAAGTGTATGAGTTACTCAAGGCATAACTTTGTTAGTTTGCACAAGACCACAAGTGTATGAGTTACTCAAGGAACAACCTTGTTAGTTTGCACAAGACCACAAGTTTATGAGTTACTCAAGGAATAACCTTGTTAGTTTGCACAAGACCACAAGTGTATGAGTTACTCAAGGAATAACTTTGTTAGTTTGCACAAGACCACAAGTTTATGAGTTACTCAAGGAATAACCTTGTTAGTTTGCACAAGACCACAAGTGTATGAGTTACTCAAGGAATAACCTTGTTAGTTTGCACAAGACCACAAGTGTATGAGTTACTCAAGGAATAACCTTGTTAGTTTGCACAAGACCACAAGTTTATGAGTTACTCAAGGAATAACCTTGTTAGTTTGCACAAGACCACAAGTGTATGAGTTACTCAAGGAATAAAAGCAAATTTTCATTCCTATTTTTCTTATTTGTGACTTCTCAAGAACAGGTACTTTGTTTACAAGAGAACACATACTTTTACTT